ACGAAGAGTGTACAAGAAGTATGTTGGAAAGATTATTAAAATTATTAACTTCTCGTAATGAATTCTTAAAAAATCATCAGGTAAATTTATCAAGTTAATAAATATTTAATTGTTTATTAAATGTCCGTGTCTCTAACAAAGTAAATGTTCTTTTTATTTTCCTTTTAATAGGATAAAAGCTCATTAAAATCTTATGCACAGGATCGTCTTTCATCCAATATAGCACTTGAGATAGCATTGTTAGTTTTATTATGCTCTTCCGACATTGATATCTGCACAATGGCAATAAATTGTTTTAGTCAATTATGCCAAGAAGCTAATCTGTCAGGTGCAATATTAAGTCATGATATTGAAGAGGCAAACGATATCATACCATATCATATGACAATTGTAGAGAATATGAATGTCTATAACGAATTATCAGAAACCGCAGATATGTTTCATGGAAAGGTAGCCCAACAACGTCGCATACGTAAATTGTTGCGTATGATGACTAAACCCACTCCAGGTAATCTTGGTGCATGGGAAGAAGCTTGGCGAAGATGGAGACAATCGATTACCCAATTCTCAAGAACCCCCGATGATCAATTCATTGAATCTCCGGATAGAATCAGAAGATTCATTGGCAGGGGTCGAGCTACAATCCCTATTCCGCATAAACTACCTGTGTCTCATAGTTCTTCATTTTCAATCCCTGACAATCAACTTACCGAATGGCAGAATTACACAGGTTTTTTAACATCATTAGGAGGATGTTGTGTAGATGATAAAATATTAAATAGTGCCAACGAATACGTCGATAATAGATTATCAATGCCACAACCAACAGATTATCATACTATGGTCGAGAAATTTATACATGAGATGGTCGATTTATTAACAAATGAAAGAGTGTTTATCGGTGAAATAATCAGAGAAACGTTAGGGAATGAGTTGAGTCCAAGATTGTTTGTGATACTGTTTCGATATCTGGAAACACTAGTAAAGGATTTTTTTTCAAATGGTCAAGTAATCTCATCTCCCAAGAACACGGTCATGGTGGAACAATCCATCATTGTGTTGAAACTTATCTTGGATCGTATACATGATTCATCAGAACATTTTTATACTTGTGATCTTGGCAACTTGGTACTTTCGTTTGCCAGATATTTAAATAGTTTGGGCACTAATAATATAGCTTTACGTATAAAAAGGAAAATTTGCGTCCTTACGGAAACTTTAATGATCAAAAAGGAGTTTGTGAGTCTCAGACAGGAGATCAAGTTAAGAAATAATTTGTTGGAAATGATTATCGAGTGGACTTCTGACTTTTCAACCGTAAATTTCATATTATTATATTATAATACGTTATATTGTTATTATTTCATTTTTTAATTAGTATTTTTTTTTTTTGTATTAGAAGAATGAAAATTCTATAGGTTTAGAAAATACTGTAAATAAAAATGAAAAAATGCACCGAGAATTGGATCAAGCATGCCTAAAAACCATAGTTGCGCTATTGGATAAACTTCCACTACAACCTTCTGATACAAATCTTAATACGGATTTGGCCAGATCCAAATCTAGACTTTTTTATAAATATTTCTCATTTTTTATTAAATTATTAAATCGTTGTCGTATTCTTGAGGTTGGTGTTTTAATAATAATAATGCTAATAATAATAAATATAATATAAATTAATTTTTATTATTGTTGCATAGGCAATCGATCTTGGAACACACTCGGCTAAAAATAATCACGATTTACAAATGCTATTATCAAAAGTACGTGTTTTTGGAAATTTATTGTTATTATTGCTGCTATTATTATTAATATCTCAATAAATATTATTTTTTTTAAAAAATAACAAATGATAGTCAAGAGACTTTGTTAAAGATCTTGGACCATTGAAAGATTATACAATTTTGGCGCTTAGCAACCTATTGAGTGCAAATGTTGATTCCGGCTTGACATTTTCACTTTCAATGGCCTACCACGAAGATTCAAAGACACGAACAGCATTTATGCAGGTTCTTACAAATATTCTTAATCAAGGAGTAGAATTCGAAGGATTGACCGAGAATGCTATGAAAGAACGTTATGAAAGATTGGTTAATGTGTTCACAGGGCCAGATTTGGATTTTGCACTTTCATTATGTGAAGTTTGTCCAGTTATAGAACAAGAAAATCTTGCCGAGGTGCTGGTACTCGCGTTTGATTCTCGTAACAATTTACTACCTTTATTAAAAGCAATGTTTGACAAAGAAGTTTCTAGAACATTCAATGATTATGATTTGCTTCGACGAAATAGTATTGCGACAAGAATGTTGGGATCTTTTGCTGATATTTACGGTGACGAGTATTTGCGCGAGACGCTTCAGCCAGTTTTCAATATGTTATTACGAAAACCAAAAAATTTCAGATGTGAAATTGATCGTGAAAGAATGACTACAGATGATAATATTGTTAAAAATTTAAATAATTTAAAAGAGGTTGCTCAATCATTTTTAGATGCCATCTTTGCTTCTTCTTCAACAATACCAAAAATGTTTAAATCTGTATGTTACCATCTATCTAAATCGGTGGGCGCTAAATTTCCTGACTCATCTCAAACAACAGTTGGTTCATTTTTATTCTTGAGATTTTTCAATCCAGGTATAGTTGCACCAGATACCAAAAATCTTTGTAAACCAATTACCGAAGAAAGAATAAAGCGCATATTGCTGTTAGCCACTAAAGTAATACAAAATTTGGCCAACAATAAAAGGTTTGGCGCAAAAGAACCCTATATGGTTGACATGAATAAATTTTTAGAGTCTAATATTGAAAGATTTAACGAATTTTTACGTGAAATTTCCCAAAAAGAATATTCAATTGAAGAATTACGAGAAAATGATGTGCTCCCGCGTAGATTAGATGATGCTCATAAAAAAATTTTACACAAACTTTTGTATGACAATCAAGAAAGGATGAGTAGAGATTTACAAACTCGTAGAGTTAAAAACAATCTGCAAAGTTCATTAACATCTGCTTCCAACATATCTAAAACAGCAACATCTGGCACAACAACAACGACGACGACGACGACGACAACAACAACAACAACAACAATGTTGATCACCAATTATCCAATCATTCTTTAGATTAAACCTTAAAAAACAATGAATTAAAAACATTCGTTTTTTATTTATATTTTACTATTTTTTTTTTTTTAGTTTTTTAGTTTTATGATTATAATAATCAACAATTAAACATATTATTTACAAAATTAGTTTAAATAAATAAAATAATTGATAAATTTAATTAAAAAAAAAATTAATTTAAATGGTTAATTTATACGAGTAATTGATTCTATTAATTGACACGTTAATTCCAAATTTTTTCTAATCTTGCTTTGAGATAAATCGCCTTTTATTGCATTATCTGACAAACTTTTAAACCCAATCTCATTTAAATAATACAGTTGAGTTCCTTTTAGTTTCTTTTTATATTCAGGTTCGGAAATTGCTGTAATAATAATTGCTTGTACTGAATCTATTATTATTGGTGAAATTTCCTCGTCCGATACAATGTTAATCATTCTAGGCAACAATGTTTCATACACCAGAGCAAAAACTTCTGGAACAATTTCTGCTGCTTCTGCTAAAAATCCATATAAAAACAATTTTTCGGTCTCTTGTTCCGCATAACTTAACATTGCTACCATCAGTGATACTAGTAACAAAGCTGTTTGATTATCTGGTATATCAATTTTCTCAAAAATCTTAAAAGTCGGCTCCGAGTTGTCTATCTCTATATCATTTGCGCCCGACAACAACAACAACTCTTTCATGTCAACGTTATTGGCCGATAACGGTAAAAGAGCTGCCATATATCCTAATAAATTTGAACGGATTGTCGTTTTGTTATTGTGAACTCCAGTTTTTGATGCTATTTCCAAAAATGATATTAATACATTTTGTGTTGCAACTCTTGTTGCTCCATTTTTCAAGCATCTCAAAAGTGTAGCAGCCACTGCAAATGAAAAATGCTCATAATTAACACCGGATATCTCGTCTAATCTTTCGGTAACAGATTCTAACGATCTTCTTGATCTCATCAAAACTTTATCAAACCCCTCATGTATAAAAAATCCTTTACTATCCAACGAATACAATACAGAGTGTAATAGTCCTAACGCACTTTGGAAAATTGGAACATGGCCTATTTGTATAAGAGCCATCGCCAACCAAAACATTTTTTGGAGATAACGTGATTCAATTGGTAGATTTTTTACAATATTGGTAAGACACATCAGTATGCTAATGACTAGTAAGCAATCTTCTTGATCAAATTGATTCAATGCCCCCTTGAGTGCTACCAATATCTGATACAAAAGATCATCGTCTACCTCTTCATGTGCAAGACATCCTAGTGCTACAAATGCTCTTGGTTGTATCGCAGGATTATATTGAAATGCTGTACTTGTAATTAATCCCATCCAACGTGCTCTCCATGAATTTGCTACATCTGTTTATGATTTTGAGGAAAAAAATTTGTTTCAATTAACATATATAATAAACACACATGGACATACATTTATCGAATGACACATACCAATCGAGGGTGCGCCATATTTCATTACTTCCAATAAAGTTTGAATAACATTTTCCAATGAATTTAATGGTAAGTTATCACTTAAATTATCTGTTGATTTTGTTGATATATCAAAAGCACCATTTCCTGGTGAATTAGTCAATCCGAAAAAAAATCGATGTTTTGGTTCTGACAACTCGGTCAGCAACAGTTTTAGAAATTTACGGTTTTCATTGTTATCACTATCAGATGACGGTGTTGTGCACAAACTCTGAACCAGATTGACAATAAGTCCATGAATTGATGCTCGTATAAGCTGTGATCCAGTTGATACCAGTAGTGATACGATGTGGAATAATTCCGGGAGGTGAACGGATATGTGTTGAAGATTGTTGAATGAGAGCATCAGGTTGAATCGAATCAAAACAGAAATATCAGTCCAGGATGGATTGTCTTTTAGGTCTCTGCTTGGTTGTAAAGATGTTTTTGATATAACCCTTCGAAGCCTGGAAATTATTTTACCACGAACACTAATTGATGATAACGTGACTATTGTGTTTGCCACTGTTTCTGATTGTATTGAACCAATCCCATGTTCAACTGCATATGCAATAAATTCATCTATAATTAAACTTGTCAGTTCATCTATACCTATCAATGTGCTCCAAATTTTAGTTTGAATAGCGGTATATAACTAGATCATTTTTTGCAAAAAAAAAAAATTTTTTTATTTTAGATAAATTAAAATACTATTGTTTTTTTTTTCTTTAAAATTATTTTAATTTACCTCGGTTTCTTTTGCAGTCAAATCAATCAACGATCGAATAATTTCTTTAGCTTTCAGAATAAATTGCTGATTATCAGGTCCATTTACTACATACAATGCTAAATTTTGTAACCAAGGCGCCATATACAAAAGACATAAATGTTTTTGTGGTATGCTTGATTTATTGAATCCAACAAAAAATTCAGTAAGAAATTCCAGCGTAA